TAACAAAAGCAAAATGATCACATGTTGACCTCTTGAATAACTATCATATTGAAGCTCAAGATTAAAACAAACCCAGAAAATGAAATAAACAGTAAGTCAATCAAGCTAGAAACTTAACCGAACAGGATATCTAAATTATCAAGTTCCAACTGAAACATGTAATTAACTTATAAATTAAGAAAACTTAAATCTAACAAAGCAAAATGATCACATGTTGACCTCTTGAAACTATCATATTGAAGCTCAAGATTAAAACAAACCCAGAAAATGAAATAAACAGTAAGTCAATCAAGCTAGAAACTTTAACCGAACAGTAAGTCAATCAAGCTAGAAACTTTAACCGAAAAAAGGTTAAAAGGAGGAAAGTAAAAAACAAAAAGATCATACCAGACAATACCATAGGCACCACGGCCGACGGGGCGAAGAGGAGGGACGTATTTTCTGGAAACTTCAAAGAGGTTACCATAAATGTTGTACTGAACATAGCGTCCACCATGAGTCGGTATTCCTTTGATGCCCTGATCCCCTGACCCGTAGCTTGTTTCCATTGACATGCTCTTGGTATTCGAATTTTGGGTTACCCTAACCCGACTTCAACCCGGATTAAAGAAAGACTTTCTGCAGATTCAGAGAGAGTGTCGGTAGATGTAAAGTCTCCCTCTATGTAATTTTCTTAAAAACTTCTTCTTTGGGAGGTTTCCTAGTGATATATATGTCAAAGATTGAGTCTCCTGTGAAAATTCCACTTTTCACGTACACATACTGTATTTTCTTTCTAAATTTTCGTCTGTTTTTTCCCTCTCTTTTGACTTTCTAGGAAAAGAGCATATTCCAAGGAAAGGATTCTTAAGTTCTAAGAAGAAAAGCCAGATCAATTTGGTGTTCATGGTCAAATATCCCATCTCCTACTTGATTAAACAATGGTAAGGAAAAAAAGGAAGGGTGAGTTGTTGCAGTATAATAATAAGTGGGGTAGAAGAGAGTTAAATATGGTAGATAAACAAGGATGGCCATATCTGTATCGACATTGACAACGCCAGCCTGGAGAAACTAATTGATACCATTTGGTTTATTAAACTAGTACACCGACATTGGTATCTTTGTGCTTTCTTCTTTTTAAATGTTGAACCCAATCATGCATACGTTCAATCTAGTCAAGTGCTTGTAAATAACTGTAGTTTCTAGGATAATCGTGTTTAATTTTTTTAAATCAATAGTCAAAGTTGCTTGCTTTTGTTTTCTTGTATTCAATCGTACGATCAAGTTTAGGTAAACGGGGAAATGTTGCAGAAAGAAGACGGCCAAGACCGGAGAAATTAGGATCATTATCCGGTTAATTTATAGAACGATTGATTCATGGAATTTGAAATTACAATTAAGAAAATATTATATTTAATATATACTTAGTATGTTATATTATCTTGTTTGAGTCATTTGTGAGAAGTATAAGATTATAATGTTTGATTAAAGATATAGAAGATAAAGAAAATGTATGTTATTATCAAAATATCATTGAGATATATTTTCTTTTTAATAAGTTAAATTCTTAATATTAAACTAAAAACATTTACATGAAAATTAATAGATATTATAGTTTTTTATTATTTTTAATTTATTTTTAATAAATTTATACATAAATAATTTAGTATATATATTTTAATTTTTTATTTCTTTTAAAAATATAAAAATATACTTGCACCAATATAATTATGTGTTTATTTTTTGTAATCAAGATATCGAAAAATGTATATATTTACACTGGTGTACATATATGTTAATTTTTATACTTTCTTATTTTATTCATGTTAAAAGTATCAATTGTACAATAAAATATCATATTAAATTATTTGAAAAAATTAATAAATATATAAAAAAATCAATGAAAATTAATCATAAAAAATAAATGCAATAAAATGCATTAAAAATAATAATTGGATCAAACAAATACATGATTTCTTTTTGGTACATAGGGTAGGGGATATGACAGTGTATTCCCTTACAATCTTAGGGTTTTCTCACCCCTTCTCTCAGACGCGATCGGTTGTAAGATTTCCTCCGTCGCCTCTTTGAGAATTTCTTCACACTGTCCTTCGATCAAGGCTGATTTCGTCAACCAATCCGCGTTTCTATTTGCTTCTCTCCATACGTGTTTTACATCCTTTATTTCTAAATCCTGCAATAGTTCTTTGCATTCATCTATGATCTCTTTCATCTGCAGATCGGAAGTTCCATCTCCATTGAGAAGTTCGACGGCCTCTCTCGCATCTGATTCGATGATAACATTCCTCATGTTAAGGGATTTTACTAAGGTTAGTCCCTTCTCAATCCCCCAAAGTTCGGCTACTAAATAGGAGATTTGTCGATGTTGCTTCTAAATCTCATTAATCAGTCTCCGATTTCTTCTCTTATCAGCCCTCCTGCTGCGACGGTTCCCAAGTTTCTGTTGCATGCCCCATCAATGTTAAGAGTGAGGTGCCCGTTGGGGGTTTTTGACCACTTCATCCATCGTGGTTATCTGGTAAGTTCTTCGATTTTACTCTCACTTGCTCCTTTAATTTCTTTTGAAAGATTGTGGCCATATTGAAATATATGGTTTAGGTTCATGTCTTCACCCTTGAATGTCACTTTATTTCTTTCTTTCCATATTCCCCAAATCACGGATGAGAAAATTGTGCCCCACGATAAACCTTCAAAAGTATTTCTCTCCGATATATTGTTCTTTTGTCTACTTTAGTTTTGGATAGTTATAACATTATCACTATCCAGAACATTACATTATTCCATCTTATAACATGATTTGTCTACTGTATATTGGATAGTTATAACATGATTTGTCTACTTTAAGGACTGAGTAGACCAGCAAACATTACATTATATTGGATAGTTATAACATGATTTGTCTACTTTAGTTTTGGGATAAGGCTATTTGTACAATATTCCATCTTACTATCGAAACATTAACCATGCATTGTTAGTTCCTGAACTAGTGAAACATGATGCAACTCGACTCGATACCGATCAAGAAATGAAATGTACTAATTCAAACCCACAGATGAGATGTTTGTCTTCTCCTTCCGGTCATCTTTCATCGGTTGCTCAAGGCCGATCTTTCAACAATGGGAGGATGTGAATGGTGCGATAAGCAGACTACCCCAAGGATCGGTATTCATAATCCACGTTTTCTTCCTGAGAAAAATAAAGGCATGAAAAACTCTAATTTAATAGTCTGTATCTTAGTAAAGCTATGGCAATAGACAGTGGTGAAAAGAATAAAGAAGAGAAGCGCGTACATAAACAGCTTCCATGTATGGGAACACATATAATATCATTTGTATTTACACACACATATACACACATGAATGTACCTGCTACAAGAAGAAATTCAGTCACAAGTGTTCCAAGAGAAGAATTAGTTTCTTCATTATGGTTTAGCCTCAGGCTTGCTTATGGGTAACAAACATGCATAATGATACTAGCTAACAATCCTAACTTCCTTTTCCTTGTACGTAGAAACAAGATGAACTGGCATGATTATGGCGATAACCTAGTGTATGGACCTGTAAGGAGGGTTAGCTAAAAGGTTTCCTTACACAATTTTTAGCTGTTTTTTCGCTTAAGCCAGAATCCTCGGGTCGGTCTCAAAAGTTGCTTCAACAGCGCCATTTTGGGAACATTCCAGTGCTCCACATGCCTGCAAAGATTCCATAAAGAATGGATGGTAAGGTAACCAGAGAACTGAAAGAGAAGAGCTTCATTACTTGTTTACCTGCAAACTTTTCCAGATTGTTCATTAAAAAAATACTCCGTGTATCCGGTAGCTGCAAAATATTGAAACGATAAGCACTGTGAATTATATTGATGCAATACCTTCATGGTCATTGACCTTTTACAAAGATGTAAGCTGATGTTGGGAAAATAAAAAATGTGACCAAAAGTACCAATTACATAATAGGCCTCCAAGGAAATGACATTACACAACTAAATTTCTAGTGTCACACTCCATTGTTCTGCACTTCCATGGAAGACAACATGAAGAAATTGTTCATTGTTATATCACATTGAAGATGATAACAAGCAAAGAAGCAAGTTATAGCACACTGACCTCAAAGTCCTCCCACTTCATTAGTTTCATATTTGATTTTTCAATAAGAGATCCAAAGTTTGTGCAATTCCTTTTGAAAAGTCTAAGCCCTTTGAAGGAACCAGCTGGATCAGCAAATTCGCAATCCTCTTCGTATGCATCGAGTGTAAGTTGCCCTGATTTCAACAGAAATGATGTTGTAACTTGTAACTTCCCTCCATTCTGGATAATTGATGAAGAAAAGAACATCAAATTGTACAGACCAACTTCTATGTTCAGGTGAAGAAGAGAGAGAGAGAGAGAAAAGATTTCGAGTGGATTTACTGAGCTTTGATTTTCATGTACCATTGACAAAATAAGATCTTTCAAAGTCAGCTTTGATGGTTTGAACGACTGCAGTATGATCAATAGCTCCTGGCCCTCAAGATTTTTCTGGGCAGCTTCTTCAACCTTAGAGGGTGGTCGGAGATAAGAAGCCGCAATCCCCAGAAGCTTGGAACCATACCAGGCTACCTTGAGAAGAACATTCTCGCGTGCAGATTCTTGTGTGGTGGGTAAATTGGTCTTAGAATTTTCTCCGCTGCATCTAATTCTATATATGTTGCGGCTTTCGTTTTGCCGGAAAACGATGGACTGACGTGGGGAAAGGCGGAAGCGAAGGAAAGACTGATCGCCATTTTAGTGCTGAAAGAGCGCCATTGATCCTCCCACGGTTTCTTTTAAATATCTTCGTCCTCAATGAACTATGGCCACACAAATAAATTGTCCAAATTCCAGAAAATAAAAAATCAGAATCAATAGCGTTAAGCAATGGATCCAGGGCTTGGGCTCTTGGTCTCCATATTTTGGCTTAGGTCATGAAGATTTATAAATGAAGTAATATGAACACAACAGAAACACAAAGACACAAGGCTAAAAATTTGAGAATAAACCCTTCTACATTGGATTAAGAGGTTTAGACCAGAGAATCAAATCCCCAGCTGCGACTACCTATGCAATAATGTAATACAACCAAATCACCGGAATTTAACATCAATCTTTATGGAATTTCTCCATAAAATTATGCCATGAAAATAACAACAAAATGGTTCAAAGATACTTTTTCCCTTTAGCAGGAGAAAGCTCTCATTTCCGTGCACCCTTGCCACCCTTCTTATCGAAATGGTGAGACTTGAGCTTCTTCTTGCGTTGTTGGGCTGCTGCAGCACTACCACCACCACCACCACCACCTTCTCTAAAAGGCATACCCATTAGGGCCAATAGCTTCAGGCCTTCCTTATCAGACTTGGCCGTTGTCGTGATGCAAACGTCCATTCCTCTGGGTTTATCAAGTGCATCAAACCTGATCTCAGGGAACACACTCTGTTCACGAATTCCTATACTAAAGTTTCCATGTCCATCAAAGCTATTAGGGTTTAAACCTTGGAAATCCCTAGTCCTAGGAAGCCCCAAGTTAATGAGCCGATCTAGGAATGAGTACATAACCTGTCAAATTAACAGCCAAAAACAGTTTTCGATTTTCAATTGTGTCAAAAGTTAAATATAATTCTGATAACAAGAAGGGAAAGTGCAATGCAGCAAAGAAATAAGTCATGGATGATGACCAGAAACAAACACAAATACATAACTGAAACAAAGCCTTCAAAACACAAATACAGGTACGTTAATTCGAGGAGCAAAAGCATAGTTAAGATATTTTTAATCTTTCCCTCCAATGACAAATTGCTCTAGTCGAATGTGAACGATCAGTCTTAAGAATCATTACATCTTCCAAGCCATTCGGTACCTGTGTTCCTAAGAACATCTGAGCAAATGTAACATAAAAAAATTTCACTGCCCGTCAAAGGAGTGCAAGTTGCTCTTCCCTGATAAATTCAGCACAGCCGACATTATACCAAGCGAGCAACAATTGCTTACTACTAATAGTTTTTCCCTAAAATCTACCAAAACAACCGCATCAATGGTGTGGAGATTAATGGACGAGCAAAGCAATCCTCGACATGAACTGAACTATACATGAAAAAACAGTCCAGAGGGTATATAAAGTCGTGTATTTTAAAAAATGAGCATAAAGCAAGCTTACATTTCCTCTAAGTGTAACGGCAATTCCAAGTGGCTGACCTTCACGTATCTTGAAAGTAGCAATAGAGTTCCTGGCTCGTGTCTTCACAGGTCTTTGCCCCGTTATCAGTGCCATCTCATTCATTGCCGAATCCAAACCTTTCTTGTTCTGGGCAGCATCTCCAATCCCACAATTCACCACTATTTTTTCAATCTTTGGAACCTAACCCCCAGTCCCCCATTCCAAAATCTCATTGCATATAAACCCAAAATTGAACCCAAAAAAAGGAGTAAAAGAAGAACTAAATCCAAGTATTTGTTTACCTGGTGAATGTTGGTGTAGTTGAACTCTTCTTTAAGCAAAGGGACTATTTTCTCTAGGTAATTAGCTTTTAGACGATAAGGTTTTTCGGCTTCCGATTTCTCCACCAACACAATCTCTCCCGTTGCCCTCACCGAAACGACGCCGCCGTACCCATTTATGGGGTTACGTACGGCAGGCGGACGGACAATGGCGGTGCAAGGCCGTGGAACGACAACGCTGTGGATTGTAAAAGCGAAGGACACGCCATGAAAACGCAAGCTTGGATTGGTTTTTTGAGTAAGGCTTATCCAGTACGCGGATTATATTTGGAGTTCCGACGATAGGGGGTTTAAGCGCGGTGGAAACTGGCCTCTCTGTTTACTTTATTTACAAGAATGCCTATATTAGGATGCGTTTGGTTCACAGAATGTAAGATTACCAGTGGTAACGTAAGATTACCAGATAATAAGATTACTGAGAATATTATATTTTGTGTTTGGTTGACTTAGCAAGAATGTAAGATTACCGTGTTTGGTTAAAGGAATAAAAGATTATTACAATGTATATTTGACTAAATTATCCTTATTATATTTTTTTTTAACAAGTTGGAAAATATTATATATTTTCTTTAAAAAAATTAAATTCATAAAATTTATATATATTTTTTTTTACAAAATTAAAAATATAAAAAGATTTAATGAAAGGGTAAAATTTTATTTTAATCACTAAACTTCATATAAAATTTTAATTATAGATTTTTTTTGTAAATTTAAAATAGTTTAAGAATAAATTTGTAATTTAACCTTAGTAGAATTTTTATTATTCAATGACAGAAAAATGATATTTAAAAAAAATTAAGGGCATTTTAGTCTAAAACGTCGGGAATCCAATAATACCTAAAGAAATGGAGATAATGACATTCCCGGTTATATACCTCAAAAAATCTACTATTGCTAATCTTACATTACCGGGAATAACATTCCCGGGCTAACCAAAAGGGGGAATGTAGATTTCATTCCCATGGAAATCCCACATTCCCTCATCCAAACACCTCCTTAATATTTTTTTTTACCCAAATGGCCAAATATACTGTTCTTTTTAATTAACTATTGCTTTGGTACTCGTATTTTGGGAACATTACGAGAATAAAGTCCAAAATAATACTTCATAATTTTAGGGTAAAATATACAAATGGTTTTTAGGTTATAGTGTACTATTGTATTGAGTTCATTCACTATTAAAAGTTACAAAATGATTTTTTTGATTATAAGGGTTGTCTTGTTGAATCATTGACTATTAGAAGTTATAAAATGATCATTTGACTATTCATTATATTTCAAATTCATTATTCTATGTTAAAGATTAACGATCATATGAGTTGGGCGTTAACATGCTAACTGAGTTATGATAGTCATAGTTATGACAGTGATTTGAAATTATGATATAATATTTTATTATATCTCAATCAGTAGAATAACGTACAACTTAGACTGTTGTCAAATTTTTAACGTAAAAAGATGAGTTTAGAACACAATGAATAGTCAAGTGATTATTTTATAATTTTTAATAATCAAGGAAAATCAACAATACAACTCTATATAATCATTTTATAACTTTTACTGTTGAAGACTTAATAAAATAATACCAACGTATAGTCATGGAACAATATATGTACTTTACCCTATTTTTTCCTAATGATATATTAAGGTGAAAGATGTTTTTAAAAGATATTTTATAAGATGTGTTATTTTTATTGATATGATAAGCACTTTTAATGTTTTTTTTACATGCTAACATGATTTAACTTTCAAGTTGTTCTTTTTTTTTATCACTTTGAATTGTTTTATTATTTATTTTATGATGTGATATTTATTATTATTATTTAATATAAAAATAATTTTTATTATTTTTGAAAACGACGGTATACAGTTATTATTTTAACTATTTTTATATTTAATAATAATAAATATTATTTTATTATTTATTTTAAATTATTTATTTGTTAAATAATAAGAAATACCATATCAAAATAAAAATAATAAAAATAATCTAGAATGCTCAAAACATGAGCAATTCTAAAATTTAGTGAGTAAATTCATGTAAAAAAATTGAGCAATTATAAGCCCAATAAATAAAATAAGAGTAAAATTCGAATATAATTTACAAGTACATTGATTATTGTTCCCTATATATATATTTTTTATCATGGGATCTAAGGCTACTAGAAACACTCTCTTCTTTCAGGGTCTTTTTATTCGCTCTCCATGAACCGAAATAAAGTCTTGCTCCAATCCCTACGGTATACTATATATATATAGATAATTATACATTTTATAATTGTATTTAAATATAACTCAATGAGCTGAATGGAGGAGTTTGTAGTCTCCTTGGCTAATTTATTCTCCGCTGCTCTGCTTAGCCTTTAGCCTTGAACAGAAAGAAGCTCATCTCATGAATATTTGCTTCAGATGGGGTTCCCTGCCAGGAATTTGCTATAAAATTCCAATGCCTCCTGAGGTTTGTATTCCGGGACGGTATGCCCTGATCCCTGAACCACAAACACAAACACAAAACACAAACATTGAATCCCATAACCCCAAAAGTCCCGTCAATTAATATTTGTTGCATTAATCTCCAACCAATCGAATTAATTAAATATTAACTGGCAAGAGCAATGTCTGCAATACTGTACCTTAACGGTTAAAAAGGTCAGGTTGTTCTCATAACCTTGTAAATACCTGCAAATGCATTCCAAAAACACACAGGAATTCAGTTCCAAAGGGAATATAACAGAAATGTTTCCCTTCTATTAGACGCCACCCATTTAAGAGTGAATGAATTCGAAAACCAAAATGATCTCAAATCCGTAGAGATCATCATCAAGGCCATTAGTTTGGCAAAGGTAATAATAAGATAGGGGCAAAGCATACCCGGCAACATCTCCATTGACCATCCACGGCCTCCATTCATCCACTATCTTATATCCGAGCGATCTTGTCCAGGCTTGGCTCCCGGTGTACGGAACACACAGATCATGATCCCCACTGCCAAGAAAGTAATTTTGGATCACTTATCAGAGAATATAGACCAAGTCGGCAATTGTGAATAAACCATAGAGGCATAGCACACATTTTAATGGTACTAAAACTCGAAACGTCTTTCGTGGAATTCAATCAACCAACGCAGCTTCAAATAAATGCAATTCTTACTTGCTAAGGGGGTTTGAGCAAAGAGAAACATACTATAACCAACACCCAAGATAATATATTGAAACCTAACAATTTATGACACTAAGAGATGGCAGTTGCAAGCTTGAAGCCCCGTTTCGTGATTCATGGCTCAGATTCTATATGTAGAGTTTTGGTTTACGTGTGACAGCAGCATATAGCATTCTGAGCCATCGACCACTTAAGCATTTTCTCTCGGATTGCATTACCTTAAAAAGTCCTTTGTTGTAATCTTAATGAGGCAAGGAAGTAATGAGGTAGACCGTGTAAACAAAAAATCCTGAAGGTAACTATAGTGTTTTACGACATTAAGTGGAGACTTACCTGAATATAAGTGCCTGATATCCCCTGGAAGTAAGATTCTTGTGATACGGGATCATACTACCAGCATCATGATTGTAGTCGATTCTGTCCGTACATAACTCCCATTTGCCAATCACGGTCTCCTATGGAGTCGAATGATGATAAAATTACAGTTTTGCAAACTTGGAGAGATAATAACTCAGAGGGCTAACCTCTTCAGCATGAATAGCTTTCCTAACAGCTTCATCATTCAGCCATGCAGTTGCTACTTCATCATTCTGCACAAGTCATACGAAATCTTGAGTAGGTAACGTACTGATATTCTCGCTACAATGAAGTGAGATGAATAAAAAATTAACAGTAACAACCAAGGAGTAGCTTAACAAAGAAATTGACAAAAAAGCAGATGAAGTCCATCAACCTTCATCATAGTCAAAAGTGTAAAAAAAAAAATCTCTACCGAAGCAAACTTGAATTTTCTTTTCTTCTATTAATCGGTAAGGTCAAGCTTGAAGAGAGAGTAAGACCAAAATTTTCATTTTCAATCAAATCCGAATGAGACTAGTAGTTAATTTGTTAAACAAACATTCAAGATGTAAGCTCTATTTATTCATCTTTATTTGTGAGCAAAGGGAAGCCATGCCCTTCCAATGATAGTGGAATGGTGCATATATATGAACATTAAACAAAAGCTCATATAAAGACTCCTAGTTGTTAGGTGTGTTAATTTGTTAAACAAACAGTCAAGATGTAAGCTCTATTTATTCATCTTTATTTGTGAGCAAAGGGAAGCCATGCCCTTCCAATGATAGTGGAATGGTGCATATAATATGAACATTAAAACAAAAGCTCATATAAAAGACTCCTAGTTGTTAGGTTTGCTAGTTTCCTATTTGCTTTTTTCATCCTCCACACCTTGCTTTTGCATCAGAATGCATCTTTGCTTTGTCTTCCAAAAGCATAAGCAAGTATATAACAAAGAGCAAACAATTTGTCCAAATCATACAATACTTGAACTTCATTTATAAGCACAAGAGTTGCAAGGCAAGACCTATTCTAACCTACCAATATCCATTGCAGTGCATACAAACAGCACAATAGCACATTAACGTGTTTAAAGAAGTGAAGCAAGATACAAATGAGCAAACTTCACAAATGAAATCTTTGAATGACTTGTAATTGTCAAGAGTAAGCTAAACTCACAGTGCATGGAACAGTTTGGCTATTGAGAAGTTGCGGCCATGTCGGAACAATCCCATCTCTTACAGGAGCTTTAAGAGGCCAGGCACGACCAAACATCCTTTTCCGTACAGCAAGGGGCCTGTCGGTCTCACCTAACTTCTGGAAGCTGGAAGGTAGTCTAATCTTAATATCGGTGTTCTCGGCTGCATCTGAGCTATGATAACACGGTTCTAGAATGTTGTACATGTTCAAATCTTGTAAGTTCTGCAATTTGTTAAAATTCAGAAGCAAATCAAAGAGAACGCAGATTCAAATTATCCAAACTTCCCCTTAAAATCATTGTAAAATAAGCAAATTAGTCAACTACCGCATCAACTTTGTCCAGTTTGCTTTCACAAATATCATTCTGTGGGATATAGAAGTTGCCCTTGCACTCGGTTTTAACCTCCTGCACAATGTAGATTCGACTATTAGAGCTACACGTTTTCAGGAAATAAAAACAAACTTCTGGCCTGTTTTCACTCTAGAGTTGGTCAAGCTTGAATCAAATCGTTTCCAATAACAAATCTGGATCAAAGAAAAATCTAAAAACATAAAAATAGTCCTTTACCAAACACAAACTAACACGAAAACTGATATTTGAAAGTGTAGATTCAGATAGAATGTGAACAGAAAGCTCAAATACTACTACTGCAGCAAAATTTCAGAAGTAATTACACTTAGTACTGGCACCTTCTGTAAGAAGTCATTGCATGGAAAACCTAGTGTTATGCAGGCAAAAGGTGGCATTGCAATATGATATACCATTTCTGGGACTGTAGCATACCTCATATAAATCATCTGATATCAGGCCCATACCATGGGCAAATGGAACAAGAGCATTGCCATCAAATTCATTGTCTGTGACTCCATTTCCAACCAAATATCCCTGCATTTTACAACCACGATTGTAGCAAGAAGGCAAGCACGTGTTTAAACTTTAACCAAAATAGTTTCCGGAGATGGTTGCACCTTGAAATTGAGAATAGGCTGAGTACCAGCAATAATTCCTGTGAAAGGTTCATAAAACATTTTTAGGTTTATCCTAAATCTTTAAGTCTAAAACTACGAGGATATACCTTTCACTACTTCATAAGAAAGAGTGGGCACATAAACACCGGCGTATGACTCTCCAGCAATAAAAAACGGGTTTGGGAGGAACTCGGGATATAACTCAAACCACTGTTACACAACAGATACTTATGTATTCAGCAAGGAAGAACTAAAGCAGCATTGAGTAAGTATGCAACAAAATTTTATTGCCTCTTACCTTGAGAAGAAATGCATGACTGTCGATGGCAGTCTGAATGTCACCAATCAAGTAATCACTTCGGTTCTTGGAATAAGAAAGCCCAACCCCAACCGGAGAATCTAAATAAATAATGTTGGAGACCTGAAATAAAAATAAGAAAACAAGAGTACTATGATACTTTTACAAGAATAAGGGAAATCAATATAAACAAATCAAACATTTCCTTTATCTCCGATCAAGCCAAAGTAACTGAGAAATAACAACCTTGGACCAACTAGATGGATTGAGATGCAATTGTGGCAAACCTCCCTTTGTCTTTGCTTCTTCAAAATTGAATGGCCCTGGAATTACCAATGAAAAAACAAGTGCTATAAAAGTGATACATTGATTTCAACTCCCTCATCTAAGAAGAATAAGGTACCCCAGGCAATCATCTCAACATTCATCTTTTTAATCTAAAATGAAGTCTAACAGAAGTAAATTAAAAGCGATCTAAAGATAATTCATGCTTTCTTTTCTTCATCTGAAACATTAATTGATCTTATTCTAAACCAATACAGTGAAAGAGAGGACATTAAACATTGAAACCTCACTAAACTATGCAAGTGGCGACAAAATAGACCCACATTAAATTTCGTCAAGGAACAAACAGAGCAACTGAGTTAATATGAGCCTATGAGGAGGTTCCCCAATGCATCTAGGTGAACACCAAGTCAATCTCACAGTTCAATTAAACAATACCAAAGTCTAAAAACACCCAAATAAATAGATTGCTTTAACAAAAATAATGGAAGATATCTTGTGACGTCGTGTATACGATATACCATGCTCGTAAACAAAACCATCAAAGCTTGAGCATCCAGGTCCACCATTGAGCCAAAGAACCACTGGATCCTCTGATGGATTCCCTTCAGATTCCACAAAATAGTAAAACAGATTCTTGCCATGATTTTCATCGATATTCACATACCTTGAATCACAAAAAAAAGGGTTTGACCAACAACTATTATGAGTCCCATAATATGGGAAACAAGAAGAAAACATGGAAAATTTTCCAAAAAAAAAAGTAGAAACAGGGAATACCCAGAGTAGTGCTTTGAAGGGAAAGTGCCAGAATAGCCCGGAAGTTGAGTGATCAAAGCATCCTCGGGAGCTGACTGAGTTAGTACCGCCAAGCTAAAGAAGAGGCAATAGCATATGAGTTTGTAAGAGCAGAGAGCAGTAGCTCTAGCCATAGCTAATGGTTGGGTTTCACTGTGGACTGGCAAATGGATTGATCGATGATTGGATTAAAAGGATCTGTCTTTGGGACATGTGCCCCATGCGGATTTGTTTAGTGACAATAACAGTGACACCGTTGAAAATCAACCAAACAAGTTACAGATTTATTCTAAAAAAACTAAAAGATAAAATAAATGTATAAATGTTATAGTTGGAGAAGAAGAGGAACGGAGGAACAAACAGGATTTGAGAATAGAGAAAGGAGGGTTAGGGATTTTGAAGGATGAGGGATTAGGAATTCACGAGAGTAGATTGGGGATTGAAATCAAAAAGGTATTAAAGCACGAGGGGAATTTGACTTACCTGAGGATGTGGAGGCAGGCCAAGGAGGTTTGGAGCGAGATGGAGCGACCCAGTACCTGAAATACAAAAGAAAAAGGGAATCAGTTTGTTAAGCATTCAGTTATAAAAATTGCCAGCTGGCTGTGTTAGATTTACCAGTATGAATTGTAACTAAATAATACCTCATAGAGAACACATTTCTTTTTATGAATTGAATGAATGAGAATCCTTTTTGTAATCTACCTTATTCTTCTTCAAAAATCCCCTATTCTTTGATAATTTTTTCTCATTATTTCTCAATCCACAACAAATTGGTATCGAGAGCCTTGGTTCTGGCAAAATATTGAGCATGGCAAAGAAGAATCAGTCCATGACTGAAGTCGATCTTTCAGGCCTGCAAAAGCAAATGGAAGATTTAACAGCGTTAGTAAAGAAAGGACAGGACGAGACGAGTCCACCTAAATGGTGGGAAATGCAAGAAAACAGAATTATTGTATTGGAGTCGAGGATGGCTACTAATCAGGGCTATGTTGAAGAACTGTTAAAGATCTTAACAGGCAGAACAGATGAAAATGAACAACTTGCTGGGGAACAGGTACGAATTCCTAATAACTCTAAAGATGGGGAGAAAAATCCAGTTTTGGTGACTGTAGTGAAAGATAAATCAAGATTCACTTATAAAACGGATGAACCTGGGATTTTGAAAGATAAACCTGATGCTTGTTTGGCATTAAGAATAGTTCTAGGCCTGAAAATATGATAGGTGAAAAAGTAACACTAGACCTAATATGATGGGAATGGTAGCTGAAAATAATGAACCAGGGGGTTCATTTAGCAGTACAGGGAATATGTAGCATAGACCTAAAATTGAACTGCTTTTTTTCGAAGGAATTAATCCGAGGGGGTGGATTCAAAAATGCCATAAGTACTTTTTTATTTGTGGTGTTCCTGTTGAGCAGAGAGTGGAGGTAGCTGCTATGTACTTAATAGGCAAGGCAAAGATATGGTTTGATGGGTATATTATGCAAAAACACCATGTTACATGGCATGAGTTTGAAGTTGATCTCTGCCATAGATTTAGTGATAGATGTTTTTCTGATATTGTTGAAGAGTTTACTAAATTGACTCAGAAAGGGTCTGTAGAGGATTAGCAGGAGAAGTTTGAGGAGTTACAACCTCATATGCTTTTGCAGAATCCTACTTTGACTGAGGAATTTTTTGTGTCACTCTTTGTTAGTGGACTCAGAGATGATATTAAACATAGGGTCAAGGCTCTAGATCCTAAGAATTTATTTGAAGCATGTAAGCAAGCTAAACTTTATGAATTGTCTGTGGAGTTTGAAAACAGAAGGTTGAGGCATTCTTTTAAAGTCCCACCCTACCCAAACCCCAGTACTGTTTCTAAATCATCTGCACTGCTGATAACTCCATAAAAAGGTCATATTTGGGACCTTTTCACTTAAGTTATTGACTGTTTAAAAGCCCATTTAGGATCATATAGATGCATTTAGGAGCATATGGTTACATGTGGTGAAATTTTGTTTGCCGCGACATTTTATTTTGTAATCAGTGCGCATTATGGGGAAGGTGTTTTTCTGGTGATGTGCAGGATCTGGGAGCAAGGAAAAGCAAAAAGGGGAATGTCGTGACAAAAGGAGACTGCTGAGCAAAATGCAAATACCGAACCAGTTGGCATTTCGAGAGCGATTAAAACGAAAGAAATATATTTTTAGTAAGAGCCAGCTGTCACGGCATAAAAAGTGCTTTATGCAATCATCATTAAAGGATGGGTCAATTACCATCTTTGTACCAACTTTCACATAAAAGGAATGAACTTTAGTAAGAGCCAGCTGTCACGGCATAAAAAAGTGTTTTCTGCAATCAGCATTAAAGGAGGGGACAGTTACCATCTTTAACACAAAAACCCTAGGTTCATTCTCCCCTATAAATAGAAGATGAAGCCTGACTTTTTAAGAATGAGAGATTTTTAGACAGCCGCCAAGAGCCTAAAAATTCGGAGAAAAAGTTCTTCGTCGATCCCAGTTGCCGTGGCATTCCTCCGTTGACAGGCTAGAGGGAGTGGCGTTCTAGGCGTCCGAGATGAGCTAGTTTGCTAGGGGCAGTTCGTGGTGGTCGAGGAGAGCATCCAACAGTGCACGTTGAAGGCTTTTCCTTCTTCCCTTAGTTATTTGCTTTCATATTTTGTTATTTGGGTTGTAAGGAACGAATGATACTTGCTTTGTGCTTGTTTATTTCGAACCCCACCATGAACTAAACCTATTTGGTGGGAGTTCATTTTGGATATTAAGTTTGTTTAATGAATGATTGTCTATGTATAATTGTTTGTTTGGATCTTAATGCCTTAAGGTTGTAGGAGCTATGAGAGTAGCCATTCCTTAGGAGATTACTAAGTGTTCGAGAGAATATCTAAGTAGCACATCCTTAGTATTCGAGAGAAACTAGGGAGGAACCACATAAGCAAGGGGTTCTAGATAGTAACTAGGCTTAATCCACCTTAGAGATAAGGCTAGGATTTCATTCGACTAAAAGGAGTTGTGCATGAGCGATAAGTTAGATGTTAATGCTGCCGCAAAAAGGTATTGTCCAGACATATCCTGTTATCTGGACCAATAGGATCCCTGCAGTAGCTAACACCAATCGATTTTGCCAAGGCATCTTCAATCTGTCGAGTCCCTTAACTAGAGATAGCATAGGGCACCCTTAGTAAACTCTGTCGGGCAGTTAAGACAGAGAAGTATGACCATTCTGAGAAGGAAACTTAGATTTTCCTAAGTGACTCCTATCACTCATTCCCATAGTAGCTTGTCGTGTGAGGAGTCTAAAGTTCTTATAAGCAATTCCAGTATTTACAGTTTATTTTGTCTTTACATTTTCAGTTGTTTATACTCAGCACAATTCAATTTGCCATAACATATCCATCTGCTACCACTTATCACCATTCTATTTTCGCAACATCCATCTCATTTTGCCACAACATTATCATTTTTTTATACCATTATTAACTTTACTTAGGTGACAAAGTAAAGTGCCGTGACAAGTTTATTTGATTTCCCCCAATCCCTGTGGAGAACGATACTCACTCATCACTTTATTACTTGTTCGATTGTGTATACTTGCACATATCCGCACCATTTATAGTACTCATACCGAGCAGACAAGTTTTTGGCGCCATCGCCGGGGATTGGCAACTGGAAATTAATTAGTTTTGTCATAGCATTTTTATTTTACTTGTTTATATTTTATTTTTATTTTTTTAGATAGCTTTACTTTTTATTTTCTTTATCTATTTCAGTTTTTTCGTGGTGTATGACCAGAAGACATTCGAACGAGCCATTAGAACCGGTTGAACCTAAAATCGAGAGGCTTTTTAGGAGAAGAAGACGTGATCAACGTGCAAACATGTACCAGATTGAAAATCAAGGCATTGGTCAGACGATGATCAGAATGCTGAGGCAAATCTAAATGTTGGGAATACAGCCAGACCTCGTGCCAATCGGGATCACTTAAACCCGATCCTGGATGATTTAAATCTTGGAATAGTGGCACCAGAAATTCAGGCAGCCCACTTCGAGCTCAAACCTATCATGTTCAATATGTTGAATTTCATAGAGCAATGCCAAAAGAAGATGCCAGGCAACATATTCGAAACTTCTTTGAGGTGTGCGATTCCTTTCGCCAACAAGGAGTTCACGAAGATGTCTTGAAATTAAAGTTATTTCTGTATTCTCTGCGTGACCGAGCAAGGGCTTGGTTGAGTGGCGTTCCAGCGGGTTCAATGGAGTCTTGGACTGATCTGTGCAAAAAAATTTACTGCGGTATAATCCTCCGATCATGAACACCCAATTGAGGAACGATATTGCTTCTTTTCGTCAAGCTGATGACAAATCAATGTATGAGTGCTGGGACCGATATAAAAGCTTGCTTCGTAAGTGTTTGAATCATGGTTTTCAAGATTGGACGTAAGTGGTGATGTTCTACAATGGAGTTAATGCACCCACGAGGATGATGCTAAATTCCTCGGTAAATGGGACGTTACTTGACAAATCACCAGCAGAGGCATTTGAAATTCTGGATAGGATTGCCACCAATGATTATCAGTTTCCATCCACAAGGCTTGGACTTGGGCGAAAAACGCATGGAGCTTTCGAGCTAGATTCTAAGGATACGGTGTCCGCCCAACTTGCTGCTATCACCAATATGTTGAAGAATTTACAGAGGCCAAGTGAGGTGAGAGAAGCGAAGGCAGCCCATTCAGCATGTTTATTATGCCACGGCAATCACAATAAGAGTGACTGCCCGACCAATCAAGAATCCATCAACTTTGTAGGCAACTTCAACCGAGGCAACAACCTTTATTCCAACACATACAACCCTGGATGGCGTCAACATCCAAACTTTTCGTGGGGAAATCAAAGAACCAACACTGCTCATCAACTAGCTCGGCAACAGAATTTCAATGACTCTCAGGGTTATCAATCGAATATGACATGGCATAATTCTAACAATGGAGGGCCATCTTCATCAAACACCAATTCTTTAGAGGCCACAATGCAAGAGTTTATTGCAAACGAAGACAATGCTGCAAGACCATGCGACCTCCATAAAAAAATCAAGGAGCCCTGCTTCAAAGCCACAGTTCGTCATTAAGGACGTTAGAGAGTCAGGTTGGTCAAATTGCCGCGGCATTACAAGAACGCAGAACAGGACATCTACCAAGTGACACTGAAGTCACAAAACCTCATGGCAAAGAACACTGCAGTGTGCTAACTCTCTGGAGTGGTACACAAATCAATGTTGAAGATAAGCTTGGGGGAAGACCGAAGGCCGATTCACCTCCTGTGACCGTGCAAGTTGAGCAAGAATTGCTGGAAGAAGCACCAGTGA